ATAGCCAATACATCCTTAAGTAAATGCTATCAGATGTATTGTCGTGAATGCTGGAGCAAGTTGACAACAGAGGAATAATGCTGCAAGTGGAACAGAGTATAGAAATATAATTTATTATTTTTGCAACGTGTGAAACAATTTTCATAATCAAATACAGAATGAAATAGTATTTATAAAATGCTAAATCTTCTGCGAAGCAGATTTTCTTTTTGATGCCGAGGAAAGAACTAAGAGATTGCGAGCCGAGCTCTGGGCGGAGAACAGTCTGTCCCAATGTAGGGTCCGTTTGCTTGTTACAGACGATATTGAACTCGATGCACAAGTACCAGCCGAGGTTTCACCTGGTGAGGGCCAACGACATCTTGAAGCTGCCCTACTCGACGTTCAGGAGTTACGTTTTCAAGGAGACGGAATTCATCGCGGTGACCGCCTATCAGAACGAGAAGGTGAGCGAGACTGTTCCGTTTCCTGCCAGGAATCAGTCTGCGGACTTGTGGAAATTCCCAGACTCACCTTTTGTAGAGCGGGACGCTTTTGTCCCGAAGACTGATCCGAATTTTTTTCTTTCACCAACCGGGAGAAAAACGTGAAAAAGTTTTCGGGTGGAAATCGTCGTCTGGCAACTTTCCTCGCGTAGGGAATTTTCTTTGCGTTAAATTCTTTTGATCAAAGGGTTTTAACCGAAAGAATTTACGATGTGCAGATGGAAATTATTGAAAATTTTTTGCCCGTTACGCGGCGATGGTTCGATAGAAAGAACGATGGGGTTGGTAGGTGTTGTTTTGTAGAATAATTACAGCAGCGGCCGTGTTAATTAATGTTTAATTCCATTATTAGCGTGTACGAGGTGATGGAGTGTAACAGCGTTATCTGTTTCTTCATTGAAAAGTTATTACCGAGCCATTACCCCTGCATATTAATTATCGAAGTTTAGACCGAGCCGAACGCGCTACCACCCCACGCAACTATCGAATTAATTAAATTGATTAAAGAAAATGTTGTAATTAACGGAGCGCGTTTAGCCCGAACCGCGCTGTTTTAATTAACAACGTCCCCGTGTCGTTTGTTCCGGCGGTGTCCGCGATGAAAAACGAAAAACAAGCGCCGAGTCTTCTACATCAATTACTGACGTCATTTTCATTAAAAAGAAAGCTCTTACATGCGTAGAAAATATCAAAAATTCTTCGAGCATTTAATAAAGAGATGAATATAGAAAAGAACTAACAGAAAAAGAATCATTGATAAAAAAATTCTTGAAGCAGACGTGTATGACTGTACGAGTAATCTCGAGCGGACAATTTCTTCGTTGACGCCTGGCTTAATTAAGACCTTCGGGAAAGAGTGCGTGGTTCCTGGAAGTTGTTTCCCGCTACGCATTATTTCCGTGCATTATTCGTCGGCCGCAGAAGGGGTCCCTTGTCCAGATTTTTCGTCGCGCGATTCACTCGATTCACTCGTTATCGCCGTGCCTTCCTGGTATCTACCGGAAGAAAGATATCTCCGTCGATCTTCTGGGCCCTTTCTCAAAACCCATATAGATTCAATTTCGTGGGATCGCTAGTTCTATGGAAATTAAATCGATCGCTCGTAGGTCCAATTAAAGAAAAAAAATTGTTACAATTAAAATTGAAGATTGCGATTTAGGGATTCCTAGATTCCTCGTTGGATCCAATTAAAATTAGAGAAAAAAATTGTTGAATACACTTAGAATTCAAGTAAGATCGTGATTTAGGGAAATTACTTGTAATATTCTGGAATAATAACTTGTCTGGTTATTCAGAATCTATTGTAACGATGGAAACAATGGACGTGAGATGATCTTTTCATAGGATGTTTGTTAATGAGGATTTTATGCATTCCATTAATTATCCCCGATACCACGTACGACGGTGGGAGTTTCATTGTAATTTCCTTTCATTACAGATCACTCAGTTGAAAATCGACAACAACCCCTTCGCGAAGGGATTCCGGGACACGGGAGCGGGGAAGCGCGAGAAAAAGTGAGTATCGCTTTCAAAACTTCATTCCGACATCTACGCTTTCAAAATATCATTCTGACATCATTATATTCTTTTTCTTAACAACTAATGTCCTTGTCGAAAGAACAATTAGGGTATGCTTTAATTTAGGTGCAATTAAAATCCTATAAAATTCGTATTTAAGATTAAATTCCAATACCATTAGAAAGATACAATATTTATCTCTGTATCAGTTGATTGTCTCGTGGATATTGTTATCACGATAGCGATTGAGATAAGTAATAGCAATTACCTATTTAAATTGCAGTAGATCAAAGAACTGATTCTATTATTAGCAAATGAATCGCGAAATTTTCCCACATTAAGGAGCATCTAAAATCGCATAAACCGTCACCCTTTCCAAACCGAAACCCCGGGAACAAAAAGCAATTCCCGGTCTCGTCTCCTAGATAGACCTAATTGATCGTCGATAGTAGTCTCCCTCACGTTTCGAGGCTGGGCTCGGGGTCAGCCCCGAGGGCCGGGGTTCCATCGGGCTCATTTGCACCCCCGGTATCGTCCATTTGTATTCAATATCGCAGCTTTACGCAAGCGAAGGGTTCGCGTTTCAATTTCGGCCCTCGAGTGGGATCCTGACGACGTTAAGTCGCTCTCTGTGCCTCGTGCCGGCCTCGTTAACCTTCGCTAATCCGCGTTACAAGCCAAAAACCAGCCGATTTGTCCTGCTCGGGCGTTCAGGTGCGATGACGTACGAAAGGATTAATGCATGGGATGAAAGTCACCGCGATACCTCTAATTAGCGAACTCCCGGCTCGCAAGCTTCTTAACCGAGAGATTTGTGCGACAGAAATTCGTTTGAAAACGTTCTTCATTTCAACCATTGGAAAATGATCTCTGATTTAACAATATATTCATTGTCTCACGAGAAATGGACAGATAATTTCTTTTGAACGGTCGAAAATCAATTATCGAACACAGCGCTGTTCTCGAAGGAGGTCGAGCGTTAATTCGGACGTGTGGTAAACGTTTCCTTAGATAAATGTCCCGAAATGGGTGTGGAAAAGTCGAGGAAATACCGCGGAACAGCCGGGCCGGATAAAGAAAGGGCGAGGTTAATCGAGAAAATATGCAAAGCAGGGGGCGAGCCGTGGCGCCGCCTAATTAGAATAAGGGTTAGTTTTGGCTTATGGTTTCGGTTAAGGGTGGCCTGGGATCCCATCGGGAAGCCGGGAGAGATCGAGTCCGCGATGGTGCGATAGAAACGGAAGAGAATGAAGGGTAGAGGAACGAGCGAACGGGGTTGGAACATAGCCAATCATCGGATTAGCATACTGATGCTCAGGGGCGGCGCTGTCGTTAGCGTGGAGGGTGCCACTTGGTGGCTTTGAATTTTATATCGCGGCTACAGCCAGTAACCGGCGTATAAAGGCCGGTTTCGTGGTGGGGCGACGACCACTTCCGGCATACACCCCGACTTTTCCCTCTTTCCAGTTATATTCCCTCTTTTCTACTTATCCCTTTCAAAACCTTTGATATACGTACGTATATCGATGCACGGAAGCCACGAGGAGAATCCAGCAAACGTTCACATTCCAGTTGTGTTTGACTTTCTCATTAAGTAAATAAAATTCTCGACGTTACTAGAGAAAACGGTGTTACGTTTAATAACACTTGAGTCTTATAATGATGTTGATCGAAAAGTTTTAAGATTAATGAGATAAAAATTTTTGAGTGGAGTTTATTATTTGAGGAACGGGATCGTGTTTCTACGCATAATTGACCCCATTCCGTGCGCACACGGCGTAATTAAGAGCATGCCTCGTACGCGTTCCCCAAGTTGATTAAACCGAGTCGCCTAATTTCCTCGAAACGAAAAAGCCGCGATGACTCGCCGTGATTTCGTTTAATCGCGTGCGCCTGCCGCCGCATTATTTCGTTAACTTTTTAACCGGGCAGTCGGTCACGAGACCGTGGCCAGTCGATTCGTCATGCCGGTTAAAAAAGAAATGTTTTTCTCGGGGTTCGCAAAGGAGCTGGTAGGGGAAAACACGAGCCTCGTTGTCACGTCATTTATCAACCATGAAAGATCGTATCGCGCCGCGCGAAGAATCGATCTGTCCAATTTCCATGCTCGAATTTGCGTTGTTAATTGCCACGCTACTTATGTCACGTTATTAACTTATTAATCCAAACACGTCAATTATATATATTTAACTTAACGAACGCATCAACGGACACGCAGCTGTGGAACAACCGTTTCGATTCTTCTTTTAAAAAAATCCAAATTTTACTTGAGGAACGGTGAAAATATTGTTTGCGTTTCGTCGTAACGCACGCTGTCACGTCGAATTCCGCGTCGTGTGTCACTCACAGTCATCGTTAAGAGCACCACTCGAATCTCCTGCCCTCGGGTTTTCAGCAGATAGAAAATAATCACCCCAGGTTCAGTCATCGGCGGTTCAACCCCCGGTTCAACGTTGGCTCGCGACATTATCTCGTGCGAAGGCAACGCGTCAGAAAGACGACGTCAACGATCCATTAAGACGACGGGAATCATTAAGCCACGAGCAGAGAATTTCATAGGGAATATCGCATCGGGGAGAACACAAAAACGCGACGAGCATCGCGAGGGTCGTGCAGCGACTCAAAAATCATTATTCCGCTCCTAAAATTTCGCGAACATTCTCGGTCTCGAGGTTCTTCTAATGGACGGCCTAATCATCGTTTTATTATATGGAAAGAAATAGAACTGTCTTAAAAATTCTCAAAGATTGGGAAGGAAGAATCTCCGTCTTTCAAATTGTACAGTCTCAGCGATGGTCCAATTCTGAGATAATTACTATAGAAAAAAATAGGAAGTATCCATCAAAATTTTATTATTGCATGCTTCTAATGCGAATAACTGGTTCTAAACCTGACCAAAGATCTCAGTTTTATGCTTGTGCCCCTATTACAACAATTCTTGTTTGTACTAGAAGAGAAATACGTAAATAAAACTGTCTCTCTGGAGGTGTACACGAATTTTATTGGACTAGATGAAAGCTAACGCGAGAAACTATTTTCCCGGGCTGATCGCGGCAAGTATTTATTTAGAGAGGCGGTGGTCGATAGGGGATCAAAGGGATTCCCGGCTGCGACGTTAGGGATTGACGGTGGTCGATAATCAGAGCGGCAACTTTTGAAACAGCTCAATTACGACGGGCCGCGCGGATGGATTTCCGCGGTATGCATAATTCATGGTGGCTGTGGAAAGCCGGCAGAACCGGGCACAATTTGCCAAAATTGGCAGTCACCTCTGTATCGGGATCGATATCGGTTGCGATTATCCCGGAGAAATTGAGGCAAGAAAAACCGATTCTAACTTTTTTAGGAGCTCGATCCAATGCACACCTTGGGAATTGTACTTAAACCGTTTTCCACTAAATTGATTGAGAATAAATCGGTTCAAGTGCTCACTTATCGACCAATAAATACCGTATTTCTAATAATCGTGTCGTTCATCGATGACCAACATAATCACACAAATCTAATAAGAATTGTTATACTTCTGCAAAGATATTAACTCCTAAGAATTTCTCTCTTTAACAATAACTCGTGTAACGCAGTTTTACCGTTGGACACTCGCGAGATAGGCGAATTCCCGTAGTCTCGCGGACGTTTTTAAGTGAAGACACTGGTCGTAGAGATAGCGAGGGTATGTTCTCTGCTCGCGATAACGTTCAAATCGCGAACAAGTGCCGTGAACCGGTTCGAAGACTGGAACAGCCGCGTGCGCGACGGAAGCACACCTAGTGAATCCAATTACCAGTTTCGATCCTACCTCCTCCGAATATTTGCAACGAGTAAGTATAGGAGGCGAGCGATTCACGGATAATCGTGCGATTTGGCAACCGTAACGTCGCTTATCCAAGCCAAACCATTTCGAAAACCCGTGCAACGTATGACGGTGTCATAGCAATTTACTGTTTTTATATTGTCGGAGATAATTGTTTGCATTAAATAAATGTATAAAATAATGCAGAACATAACACAATGTGACTGCTGTGTTAAAAAATGTTTTAAGTTCGACGAGATTCGAATTCGATCACGCAGTATTGTTCGTATAAGATATGAATCAGCTACTAGTGAAATGGGGGAAATGTTTAAAGATAGTCTTAGCAAATCATGTGTCGTACCAGTAAACTATTGATTTTAACGTGCTCTCGTACTTAAGCGCGTCAGAAACCGGAGAACCGTAGTGTAACACCCTTTCCAGGCTCACGGATTCATCCGTACACCGACTACGTACTCGCTACTTCTCCCTCTCGCTCGCTCTCCCTCCGGTCCTCGTCGACGAGCCGAGGTCTCTGTTTCGCATCATCGTCGTTTTACCACGGCTGTGTCGGTGCATTGATCGCATTACATGGCATTAAGGTATCGGTAAGCCTCTCGTTACGTCCGGCTCTCGAACCAGCTCTAGCCGAGTTTTACACGATGCTTAGCCCAGCTCCCTTCGTATACGATGAAACACGCCGATTTGTAGACGATTCCGCGAGGCGGACGCTCGGCCGCGTGACGAATCTCTTGATTAGCTTTCAGACCCCTCCTCTTTTTTCGTCGTATATATCGAACGCGTTTCATGGTCGAAATATCCATAAAAAGTGTCAACGGTTCTTAAATTGTGCGATGCGTCGCTATTTTTGTCGAAGTTCCTACGTTGACAAATACAGAGTGCGAGATTCTACGTTGCAAACATTTTACGACTCGACGCAATTGAGATATAGAACGCAGACGGATTGATTTAAGTGTCGCACGGCAGCGGTTTTTGGATTAAATTGGTTTTCAACCCCGAAGTTTCTTAGAGCAAATGGGTTTAAACCACTGGTTCCGAGGGAAATTGCTTTGAAAATTGGAACGTGTCGTTTCGAAACGAATTGTCTGCGCGTATCAAACCTATCGAGGCTTTCGACGAACAACGATAAAACCGATGAAATAAAAATGATTTTAAGAGACTAATATTAACTGATAGAAGATCTTGGTTCATTAACACACAATTGTTTATTCGATGACTCTAAATACAGTTTCGATGTTCGAAATACAAATCAAGCAAGCTGAACCCTGTAATATAATTGATGTAATGGCACGTCACACGCACATGAGCGATCGATATGTAGTTCAGTCGCACGCTGTCCGTACGCGACAGCCATACGAGTGTCATGCAACAGCTAAACCGTAATTTGAAAGGTGTGAAACAACTTGATCAAGGGATGAATTTCAAACCACATCTGAAGGATGTTTCAGTAATTGTTCTTTCGACATTGGAGATACGTTCAGTTTACTAAATGAAAAACCTAACTTCTTCAAGATTGCTAACTCTGCGTCGTTGTTGCAGAAGACAGGCGCTGTTGACAGTGTCAGGCGGCGGTTCCCGACTGACAGCCGGCGGCCCAGCCTCGCCCGAGAAGCGCCGCTCGTCGAATTCCGTGAACGACCTCCTGGACGACGAAGACAAACTCCTAGACGTGGTCGGACCAGACACGCCGCATCCGGCGCATCACCAACGAGAACGAGAGCATTCTCGCGAGAGGGACGACAGAACGAGCGAGAGAGGAGAGGGTAGTGAGTCGTCGGGTTCCGAAAGCGGTGGCGGACCAGGTCCAACAGGGTCCGAGGGTCCGAGACCGGACGTTTCCGTGGGTCCACCGTTGCACCCACCCCTGTTACCGTACCTTTACCCACCGGTGCCCGGGTTGTATCCGGGTCCCGGACCTCTCATACCGCCCAGTCCCTTAGGCATCCACGGTGGAGTCACACCGGGAATGCTGTTCAACGCGCAACTGGCTCTTGCCGCGTCTCAACATCCAGCACTGTTCGCGCACTATCCTCACCCCCTGGCCAGTCCTCTTCATCAATTGAAGGGACATCGATTCGCGCCGTATACTTTACCCGCGCCGTCTCACGGCTCCGCTTTCGAAACCGTGACGCCGGGCAGCAGAACGCTGAGCCCCAGGTCGCCACCTCCCAGGCCGCCGACCGGGTCCCCTACGCCAACCGCGGGACTCGCGTCCAGCGGTAGCTCGGCCGGAGAATTGAAGTCCATCGAGAACATGGTGAACGGGTTGCAAGAGAAGAGGAGGCGCAGTCCAAGTTTGACGCCCGGTGGGCCTAGGGGCGACGCGGACACCGGCGGGGGGAGTCCGTGACAGGAGAGTGAGCCTGTTACCAGCACGAACGACGACCCGGACTTGGAGAAGCACCCGGACGAACCCTGCGAGCCTGAAGAGCTCTCCGGCGACGAGAGGGAGCCGGACTCAACCTCCGAGCCGTCGTAGCAGGGGAGAGGGTCGTCAGTCCCAGTGGCAGCCGTGCCCCGGTCCGGATCGGGCACCGCCGGGCACCAGGGACGCTCGAGATAACGAAGTGCAATTTTACGGACTCCTCCTGACACGCCGCGTGCCTCTCTTCTGGAGTCACGCCGATTCCTGTGTGAGTGTATATAATTATTGGACCGGTGGTGGATCGGGGGATCCGCGCCTAGGCAACGCGCGACGGACGATAGAATCGGGAATCGCGGTGTAAATTTCGATAGCTTCTCGGTTTCTCGGAGGGGTGGGACGGCCGCGGTTGGTCGGGACTGAGACCTGCCGCTGAATTAATTGGATGGATGGTCGTGCGTATGCGGATCTGGAAACTCCTACCATGTCGTTTTTAAAATGATGCTGTTTCTGGTTTACTTGGAATTGTTTCGAAGGTAGGTTCAGTTCTGTTTTAAATTTGCCGGAGTTTCCAAATTTGTACGCGCGTGCTTTCGAATTACTCGGAGTGTGTAATAAGACTTGGGAACATGCTTGTGCAATGCAGTTTCGATGAGCGTTGCCTCGAAACTATCGACGATACCGATGAATGATCGTCGATGATTTTTTGGTAACACAAAGAACGGTGAAGTTTGAAGTACAAAAATTAGATTCCAAAGTTCCAAGGCTTTCTCTGATCATGCTCGACGTGCTTCAAATCGTAAGTAGGGAGAGAGATAGAGGTAATGAATGGTTTTGATAATTGCGGAAAAGAGCTACGTTCTGCCCCGACGCGTTTTATGTAATAACCGAGGAAGGAAGACAGTTGCAATACGAGAGAGCACCTCCTACTATTCGCAGCCCCTGTACATATGTACCCTAGTGATATTATATTATATTATATATATACATATTATATATATATAAATAACTCCTCTCTGTATTAATTATTGAATATAATATTATATTAATTATTAGAGAGACGTAAACGACGCATAAACGCTCGCTGCCCGATCACGCCTCGGCGCCGTTGAAAGTAGCGCAAAAATCCGAAGAACGATTTGGAAACAAATTCGAGACCCGCGTCGACGCGTGTTTTACAAATTCGAAAATCGAGAGTCGTTCGGTTCTTGCCGAGTCGAATTGAAACGACGTCTCGAACGATCTCTCTAGGGCATTCATCCACTACTCCCTTCTCGGCGTGTCGTTGCTTCTGGAGAACGATGGAACACTGCTCTCGCCCCTCTTCCCAAAACCCCCGCGCCACCAATTTGTATAAACGTTGGCCATCGATGTAGATAATCGCGTGGACTTGTCGTAAACGCAATGAGAAGCGAAGCTCGATCCGTCAGTGGGTCGAATCTCGGGTTCCGGTGATCGTTTCGGGTGGGACGATGTTAAACGAAGGGTGGATGTCCTGTCATTCTGTGGATTATTCCGAAGGTCAGAGTGCAATTCGCGATTGCCAACACTTTCCCTTGATATAATTTCGTTTCTAATCGAGAAAGCAATCGAGGTGGATACAGTGTACGATATTGAAAATACGACGACCGTCGGCCTTGTAAAGAATGTGAATTAAATTTGTAATTAGGCAGCTTGTCGCAATTACTAATTCAGTTGGGAACTGTTTACTCAGTTGGAAACGCGTTGAACGAACGCAACGCTGATTGTACAAAATGCATACATATGTACGAGAGAGTATGGTTAACTAGGCAGCTCTGATCGGTTCTCTGTTCTTTGATTTTTATTATTATTATTATTTTTTTTTTTTAATTTTATTGTAGAGCAACTCGTGATACCTCCGACGTTTATTGTATAAAAATGTGAATACGCAACAATATCTGTTCCTATCGTTTTATTTTTAATTAATGCCACTTCGCCAGTTACAAACTGTCATTATGATAATTTTTAAAATATTTTTTCCTATTTAAAATTTTAAATAAATGCGATGTCTGTTGAACGATTTCATCTTTTTTTTCTCGTTTTTTTTTTTCCTTGTATGCTTGTGAGATCGCGACACCCTTCCTTTAGCAAGTGAACGTCTGCGTCTGAACGAGAGAGCAATACTTTTAGCCGGAAACAACTGAAATCAATTCAATTCGCTAGACTCCATGATTAATTTCAATTTCTGTGAGAGTGACTCGTTTTCTCAAACTCCCCGGATCCTTCAGAACTAAAAATTGTACAAAACCAGCGAAACGGAGCCGCACAAAGACGTTCGTATCGTTCGAAACGAGGCAATGTTTCGGTCGAACGGAACGAACGGCATAAGAGAACATAATCTGGAAGCGATCAGTATTGGAATTTTGGGACCGTATCGTCGAGTAACGGGGTCCTGGGGCCAACTGCGTTTCATCTTCCCGTCAGATATCCGTGAAAATCGTCGTATTTCGTTTTCCTCTTTCACGTCTCTGCGGTTTACATCTCGAGGCGCGTTGCGTACGGTCCTGACTGTCCTGTGTGCTCGCGGAGTGAATGAGAGCGAGGGAACGAGAACGAGAACACACATCGTCGAGAGCAAAAGCAATAAAATTTCAATGAAACGAGACGAACAAAAATTAATGTGTATCTCGACGAGGAGAAAAAAAAAAGAGAGAAAAGAGCTGTTCACGAGAATACGTGATATTCCGTGGCTTGTATTGTATATTGTACAACCCCCATCCCCATCATCCGCCCCCCTCCATGTCCCGAAAACGCCCTCCGAGATCCACGTGACTAAGAATTATATATATATATTAATTTAAAAATATAACACCGACTATTGTTCTCTATCTTACCCTGCGCGTCGTATTACTATTTATTTATTTCAATGAAAATACAATTATTAAAAGTAATAGCGAACGGGAAATTGTTTTGTTACAGAGTGTGTAGACTCGAGCGACGTTAAAACATCGCAAATTAGGATCTCCGTTAATTGGATCGATATAAAGATTGATCGTCTCAGTAATTGGTATTTTGACCCTTTAATCTCTACTTCCTTTTCTTTATTTTTCGTCATAATAAATTTGGCTGACCATTCTTTTTATTAATTTTCGATCGAGATCAGGCGCCAGGTGCAACGCGTGCAGATAAAGTTAACGAGATCTCGTCGAACGAGCCACCGCAACGAAGCTGTGTTCCAGGTAAGCTGAATTACGTTCCAACGAAATGACTCCTGACACGTTTGAAAATTTTATACGATCGTATAAAGATCGAATTCGGTAAAACCTGAATCAGATACAATGACTTTTTCCGTACAATCGTTCGGAGAAAGATGAAATTAAAAATATAGAGTAGAAAGTCATGAACGATGAGCAGCAGTTCGAAAGCATCTTATTAAACCGAAACGGGATCACATGCGGGACATGTGTGGCGTCGAGTCTAGCGATCAGGTTTAATCGTACGACTGATCTTTAAGGCTTAAGCATGGTATAATAATCGTTGACACGGTGGGCGACTCGCGGAGATCATGGGAGGGTCTCCCGTTCATTTTTTTCGCGTCGTCGTAAAAGTTAACGACTTAATCGCACGTGAACGTACAAATTGCGTGATTGTATAATTAGAAAGCAGGGCCCAGTCGTGGTACACGTATACAGATAGAGGCTCGTTGATTTTTCTCCGCGAACTGTTCGCCACGAAATATCGCGACCGACCTTGTAAACAAGCCTGCTACGTGAGCATAAATAATTCATGCGCGTGCGAGCTCACGCGAGAAAGAAGAGGAGTCGATCTCTCCGCGTGTCGGGCCCAAAACGAAAAAAGGCGAGCGTAGACCGCTGGGCGATGGATTTTTCGAACGAGGGTGAGAACGTGCTACAATGTAATAACGGGCGAGGAAATCGTTAACGAGGGGGGTCACTTCCGTGGAAATTTCGGGCTGCGCTTGTTAATTTTGTGCAAATTCGATCCGGGTATTCTCCACAGTGGCCCGAGGCGATTTGCATGTGCAAATTTGATTAAGTACAACCGTAGGTAATTGTTATTATTCGGGGAACGATGTGTTAATGACCCGGCAACGGAATTTGAATACGTCCATCGGTTATGGGATCCGTATAATCTAGGCTTAAATAGCATACGCTCGGGGGCCGCGATGTTTGATCAAGAATCGCAATTTGATCGTCGTTCCGCTCATTATGATTGATGAATTATCTTGCATCCTTTACGAGCAGCATCCTCTCGAGCCGCAGGCATAACGAGAGAAAAAAAAAGATAGTACACCACCGCCGCGAGCAATAATTATGAACTTTTTTTCAGCGGCAACACGTTGTAACTGTTGAGCGTAATCGCGAGATCTCCGGCTCGCCTGGGTGTTCCCCATTAATTTTGCAATTTTTTGCGAAACCGCTCGATCGCCGTAATCGGCGCTCAAATTTTTTTCTCCCTCGGTTTTTATCGAAAAATCGTCGACGCTGGTTCTCACCACGTCCATAAACGGGTGAACGTATTTCATAGAGTTTTAACGATTGGCCGTAAAGAAATGCATAGAATTTAAGGTCGCAACTGAATTTTTACCCGCAGCCTTGCACGAATCGCGTCGCGTGATGAAAATGTTAATCCATAAATGTTTGAAACGCTCGCCGAGCGAATTCGTCGCATGCTTAACCTCCTTCGATTATCCTCGAGCGCGGTGAATGTTACATGCGCGTGATTTTACGCCAGCCATTAGAAAATCGAACCCCCGTTATCCTCGACGATGCTGTCGTTCCATTATTAAGAGGAACCGGTGGATTCGTTCAAAATCTAAAACGAAATCCACCGGGAAGTCCGAATTAGCTTCTCGAGAATCGAAGTTGTGTGCTAGCGATTCGTGACAGCATTCTTCACGGTGATGTCGCAACGTGCAAAGAAAAAACGCGTCGGTGAAAATATGGCGATAATCTCGGGGGCGCAGAAACGAGCGGCAGTCACGGCAATACCTAATCTGGAAAATCTACGAGCCGTGACATTCCATTTTCATGGTCAATTAATGCAACGCAATCGATCCGCCGCCGCGTTGACACCGTTTCCGATCCCTTTCACCTCGTGTCCAACGCCGATTTTTTTTCAAACAGGCGATAATTGATCTTCAAACTTGTCGCCAGTTAAACGCAATCAATTAAACTGATGTCGCGACATAGGTTCCACGTTCCTCTCTTAATGCTCTCATAATTTAAACATTCGATCGACGATTCCTTTCGATCAATCCGATCTATTCTAAAATTATACTCGTTCCCGAAGGACAAAGCTCGAACGAAACTTTGTATTAATAATTTCGCGAGACATTGGGTATTAAGATTAATCGTAAGTTTCACGATTCATAACAGTGTCTGAGTCAAATTATCCCGCAGTAATTTAAATCGGAATGGGTATAAAAAAGCGTTCGTGTTAGGCTAAGTGGCAAAGCCTCTACCGAAATTGAAGGGTAAACAGGCACTTCGTGGCCATAATCGTACGACCGCGGGACAATTACATCTGCAAACACAGCGCGCGTGCAATTACGTTCGGGCGTGCGTGCACCTCGGATCCGCGGTCGCCATTAGTCGGGTCTCGGTCGTAGGAAACCCGACGGGATGAAATTGAGGGGAAGAAAGGAACCTTCTATCGCTCTGCGGTGGCCAACCTTATCCGCAGTCTAGAACAGAACTTTTATCTTGCTCGTTGTACTTTCTACTCTTACGATGTCGAAAGTCAGTCATTAATTTATTCTCAACAGGACTTTCGTTCTCGAAATATCATCAAAATGGTTTTTACGACTATTTAATTCTACTTAGGAGGTGAAAAACGTTTAGATTGGAGTCGAAGTTATTAGCTATATAGAAAAAAGTATAATTGTCAGGTATTAACGGATGGCTACCGAAGATGGTAGATGTTTACCCTAGAGTTTCGCGGTTTTGTAGAATTCTCAGCCCGCTAATTGAAGGGTAAAACGCGTTTGAATTACAAAGTATCTTCTGTATCGGAGTTAATAAGGCTGTGGCGACCACTGGCTGCAGGTGTGAATTACGAGCAGATTGAAGTTCGACTCGGTCCGCTAATTGCAGGAAACCGTGCTCGCTGGGTTATCATTAGTGCTCAGCATGGAAACTATTAGCAGAATTATTTTCATCGACGTTTAAGCCTTCGGTAACGCTCGCGAATCCGAGCATAATGATTCGACGATAGAGATCGAACACGAACGCGTAGAAATATACAAAGTTCGTTAAACAAATCAATCAGCGAATGGGTGAACGACGAAATCCTGTGGCTCTGTTTGATTCTAAAATATGATTTTCGATAAGGAATCGATGTGGCCTTTTAAACCTCGATGAAAGGCCACGTGAAACCGCGATCGCTTATATAAGACAGACAGACTGGCGAAGGAAGAGCGAGATTCGTATCGGTTGACTTTTATGCGGCTCGTTTTTCGATTTTATTCCGCGGCTCGCCGAGCAGTCAGTCGGGTCTCGGTAATCGATTCGATCACGAAACCCGCTCGTCTTTTCGTCGTCTCCGAACGCAGTGCCAACCTCACCCCCGTCGCCCGTCGATATTAGCATAGCCGCCACCCCTCGAGGCCTGGATCAACGGTTTCCTAAAGAAGTTCGCCCAACTACGTAAGAAAATTAGTATCTCCTAACAATTTGACAGTGTGACGTTACAATTAAGGAGTAAAACTACTTTCTGAGTCGTTCTCAAAAATAGATGTCGACGTCTCGTTCTTCTTACTTACGGAATCGAATGTCTGAGAAATCAATCAGGTCGCACGCGAAGCTATCGTTCATGAATCAATCGCAGGTTATTGAAAGACGGTATTTTATTGTGCCAGGCTGGTCTATTTCCATTTAATAGTAGCAGAAGTCGCAGCCGATGACGGATCGCATCGCCGACGATAAATTCGTGGAGCATCCCCTATTCGCGAAGGGGTTGGAGGGGCCCGAGGGCTGGCCGCTCGGTACCAAGCGTGTAGCGTGCCCGGGCCAAAGAGCGCGCGCGGTTTAATATCGTTTATAAATTATTCCGCGGAGATAGCCATCAGCATACAAATTGGTTCGGCGAGGACCTCCGGCCCGGTCCGCGTGTTTCCTTCGATTCCCATCGGGCACGGATCCTTTTTCCACCGGGCTATCCTTTCAACGGAAACAGAAACAGAAAGTGACGCTCCTCAAAAGATCTCCATTTTAAAACGGAAGATCGATTTTATTTTGAATAAATATTTTACAATCAAGTTTGATAAGACGTTCCCTGCTGTACTCATTAACGATAAAAGTCGAAGGACGAAAACGAAGGATCAACGGCATTAAAAGTGGTCAACCATCCATCAGGGCCAGAAATGGAAGGAGCGAAAAAGAGGTTTGAAGATCAATCAAAAAACAGTAACAGATAAAGGCTAAAAGACGAGAATCAGGAAGCCATCGGAATGGACCGGTGTCCTTTGATCGGCATCGAAACTCGTCCGTTTTGGTAGTCGAAGTGGGGCCCGGGACCCCAGATAGCGAGACGGAGGATTTAATTGACACCGGGAGGTGTCGCAGCGCTAAACTATGCAAAGTGGTCCACTGTCGGCTCGGCTTTCGACGCAGCCAGCGACTCGGAGAGATATGAAGCCACGCGTTTCCGACCTGATCGATCGATCCGTCCAACCGGACCGTCTCTCCACCTCTGAAATAAGAAATACAGATCTTGCGACGATCAAAGACGCTGTGTTTTTGACCGATTGGATCTCATTGCTGACCTTAGATAAATTCTAGTCAAAATTGTTTCAAGAAATACTCGTACAGTTTTATTAGCATCGCAGTACCACGTCTCTGATAAAGT